TAAAGTGTCACCTAGTTAGGAGCTCTACCATTGGATTCACTGAGAGGGTCATCACTTTTGATTCTTCTAAAGTAGGCCTCCACCAAGAAGGGAATATGTCTAATACTTGGGATCTGTGGTTTGCAACACAAGTGATATCCCTCAGACTCCTGAAAAGGGACTATGCCGTGACTTCCTTCCGGCTGCAGTGAGATCCGAGGTGTTTATACCACGCTAGTTGCCAAATGCAGCCTTTGCTCAGCTACAGTGTGTCGTTTGACGGAGCCTGGCCTCTGTTTTTGTCTCTGTGTGTCGTGTGTACACACTGAACATGGACATTGGATAGTTATTTTCTGTGCTTTCTCAGAGAGGCTGGGCTTCCAAACCTGGGAGTTTGTTCTCTACCCATTGGCTAAAAAAGGCCGTCCATAAATTAATTTTGATGCCACACACACTGAACATTTTCATTGCTCCTCCTTTAGAGTCAAGCCAATGCTGTTGCTCATGTGTTTGTGCAGAATTATTCATCTCCGTTGATGTGACACTCTCCTGAAATCACTAGATTATGAAACAAATCTTCACCTCCTGATTCCAATACTGCCTGGTTTCAACACAGGGGTTATTTTATTTTTTTTACTTCTCCTAGTAAATAGAGATGTGTATAACTTTTGCCCACTTTATTTCTTGAGTTTCCTGCACCACTTCTTTTCTTACTCTGAAATAATGTGAAAATGTGGAAAGGTTGGAGCAAGACTGAAAGAGCTCCCCTCCTTGGCATGACCTAAATCCATAGCGGCACTCTCCATTTCCCCTGCCTCTGTGTCACTTGTTAGTGACGGGCATTAGGAGCTTCATATGTCACACACCTTGTACCACTCTTCCGACCCTGAGTCAAGTAGGTCGAATCCAGTGACGCGTGAATAAGCTCTGCTGAGTTAATGTAAACAGACAAGTGTTGATTTCTGTCACGTGGAACGGTGTTTCGACAGTTAAGTCTAGCACCCAGCAGTCTCCTTTAGTCTAGCACCCAGCAGTCTCCTTATTGGTAGACGATTCTAATTTCACTGGATTCAAAAATCTCTGACTCAAGGGTCTTTCCTTAGTGCTTTTTAATGGATGCATGGGTGAGGCAAAATCCAAGTCATTGTTAAACTCTAGGTAAAAGACAAGAGTATGGGATACCCTCCTAAGCATGCCGGTAGTTGTCAGTTTTATTTAAAGTGGGTTCCACTTGGCCAGGATTGGTGGCACACCTGTAATCCCAGCACTTTGGGGGCAGGAGTTTTAAGACCAGCCGGGCCAAAAAATGGTGAAATCAGGTCTCTACTAAAAGTACAAAAGTTAGGCTGTACATGGTGGCTCATGCCTGTAATCTGAGCACTTTGAAGGCCAAGGTGGGTGGATCACTTGAGGTCAGGAGTTTGAGGCCAGCCTGGCCAACATGGTTGAAACCCCCTCTTTACTAAAAATACAAAAATTAGCCAAGCGTTGTGGTGGATGCCTGTAATCCCAGCTACTTGGGAGACTGAGGCAGGAGAATTGCTTGAACCTGGGAGGTGGAGGTTGCAGTGAGCCGAGATCGCGCCACTGCACTCCAGCCTGGGTGACAGTGCAAGGCTCGGTCTCAAAAAAAAAAAAAAAAAAAAAGGTTCCAAATGATCATGTTTTGTGGCACTGTCCTCGTAAGTGGCCACTGGTGTGACAGAAGGCATTGCTAAACTCAAGTGAGACAACTGCTGTTTTGCTTCGGATTGTCCCTATGAAAAGGGAAGCCATTGACTGCTCGTCTTGTTAGAAAGACAAGACATTGAATGAAGTTCAAGACGTTGAATGAAGCTGGTTGTTGCCCAGAGTAGAAGATTCAGGCACCTACAGCAACTCACAGCAACTCCTAACTCTTAGGAGGGCTCCCTCCTACTAGCGGTGAAGCTGCAAACCAGCCTCTCTCTTGTTCCCAGATCTTCCTTGCCCCTAGTTCTGAGCCGCAGCCCAGAGGCAGGCCTCATGACTAATAAACCAGCTAGTGGACAGCTGGGACCTGTGGCTCCTTCTCCATGTTGGCCTTCCCTTGTGTCTCTTGTAGGAGTGCCTTATAGTATTGTCTCATGCTTCTAGTCTAGTCTGTCTGAACCACTTGAAGCCTGCAGGACCCTTCAAGGGATCCAAGCAAAGCCTGGATCCCTTTGCTTCTTCCCCACTGGCTAGTCTTCACATAGATGCTCTTGGAGCCTGTGCATTCCGTGATACATGTCAGACCTCTCACCTTGTTCAGCCTGGTGTGCCTTAACCTCAGGAGTAAAGGAGTAAAGGGAATCATGTCGGAAACACATCGTTAAAGTGGAATGGTAGAAACATTGGCTTCTTAGTGCCGTTAGCACTTTTACCAGGAAATAGATGCAACCACGTAATGTTTTCACTTTGTTTTATGCTGTTCTTAAATCGCTCTTTTGTTTATTTGTTTGTTTGCTTTCATTAACCAAACTCGGGAATGTCATGATGTCACCAAAGCTAATGGGTAGAGAAATAAAAACCAGCCATCCAGAATTGAATCTGTAAAGTCAGTGAACTTAACCTTTTCAGGTTCAAAATTACACAAACACAAGGATTTTCTTATCCTTCACCTTTCGAAGGTTTTCTTTTTATTTTGCCACCTGTTTTCCAAATAAGAAGTGGGAAGCCTCTTAGCTAAATTGTGATAAAAATGTCTCTTTGTGTGGCGTGAGCTATCAAATTAGCTTTGTGTGTCCACTGAGCTATCAAATTAGGCTTTGGCTGCTGGAGGCCTAGGTTCTAGCTTTGGTCACCTATCAGAATCTTACTGTTATGCTGGGCATGGTGGCATGTGCCTACAGTCCCAGCTATTTGGGAGGCTGAGGTGGGTAGATGGCTTGAGCCCAGGAGCCTACACAATATGGTGAGACCCATCTCAAAAAAACAAACAAAAAAAGAAGTAGAATCTTAATGTGAATAGCTACTAGCCTACCCTAGAAGATATATATTTTAAATCTGTTTCTTAGGAATAGTAGCTAAAAGAAGGAATGGTCAAAGGAGGGAAAGTCGCTGGCCACAGTGGCTCACGCCTGTAATCCCAGCTCTTTGGGAGGCCGGGGTGGGAGGATCACTGGAGCCCAGGAGTTCAAGACAAGTCTGGGCAAGATAGCGAGACCCCATCTCTTTAAAAAAAAAAAAAAAAAAAACTTTTTTTTTTAAAGGAGAGAAAATGCTTAGGTTGCAAATGGAGAGTATTGAACATGGTGACATAAAAAACTTCTGCACAACTTGTTCTCTAGCTCCTGGGTCTGATCTATGCCATTTTTTCTTATATCTGCTCATACAGTACAGAAATGACTAAAATTTTGGGTCTGGGTTGTTATATCACTTTGTGTTAAGTTATTTGTAGTACCTAATGTGCTAACTTATATATGTGTTCTCTCTGTTTTTTTGATGTTATTACTTTTGTTTTGGCATAACTTATCTACATTTTTGTTTACATTATTTTAAAAACATCAGTAACTGTAATAATATAAAATTGAAGTTGTATTGTTGACAATACCTCTAGTTTTTAAGGTCATCTGTCACATAATTTAAGTGCACTAGTTCTTAATGTATAAAGTTCTCTCTCTCTCTCAATAAACAATGCAGAAAATACTTTCCTTTCTCATAACAACTTCATTAAAACACTGCTGTAGAGGGGATGGTGAAAGCCCAAGGTGAGCCCTATATATTAATTCAAAGTCAAGATTTGAGCTTTATTGAAAATGAGTCACAGCCGGGCGCAGAGCCCGAGGCAGGCGGATCACCTAAAGTTGAAAGTTCGAGACCAGCTTCGGCCAACATGGGGAAACTCCCTCTCTACTAAAAATACAAAAATTAGTTGGGCATGGTGCTGTAATCCCAGCTACTCAGGGGAGGCTGAAGCAGGGAGAATTGCTTGATCCTGGGAGGCAGAGGCTGCAGTGAGCTGAGATCATGCCACTGCACTCCAGCCTGGGTGACAGCACGACTCCATCTCAAAAAAAAGACAAAAAAAAAAAAGAAAATGAGCCACTTTTAATGTATCTCCTAATATCTTACAGATAAACTTTTTTAAAAATTCATCAACCTACAACATTCTCATCAGCCCTTTCCATGCTTATGAAAAATGTAGTGTAACTTTTAAAAAGATGCAGATGTAGTGTCATGGGTGTTATTTGCTGAATCTAAGCATGATTACTTTCAGTTCCAAGACAAAGCTGCCAAAGCTCATGCATGGATGTTCTCCCACCAAAGCTTTTCCCCAAGCCTTCTGGCCCTGATTCCATTTCACCATTCCTGCACTCTCCAAATTAGATGGCCAAGTGCCAGGTGGCCAGCTAGGCAAAAGCACTGGTCCTTCCTTCGGGGACCATATTTTGGGAGCAAAGCAGCAGCAAAGAGTGGAGAGTAAAGAGAAACTTCCTCCTCGAGACGGCAGCTCTCTGGGAGTTGAGAAACGATCAGAAATATCTGCACAGCCTCATGCCTGGGCTGACCCTCACCCACTCAGAAAGCCAGGGGTACAACAACTATCCACTTGGAAACTTTAGAAGGCTCCGTTTAAACTCACTTTCCCAAAGGAAGACATGGAAAAGAGACTAGAACAGGTTCTTCTGGTAAAACATTTACCAAGATGAACCCTGAGCCTTACACCCTAAGACACACCTAAACAAGTTTATGCCCGGCCCCTCCCACTCCACCCTCAGGAAATCAGCCTGGGCGCGTACCCACTCTGTCCAAGAAATAACTGGACTTCATCGTCACACGAAACCTGCCACAATCCACGATAAAGAGAAGCGGGTTAATGTTTCACTGAACCAAACTAGACATACGATGTAGTCAGAGCCTGGATTCATAATCAGATGAATCACACAAGACAGGTTAGCTTTCCCGCAGTTGTAGGAAACTGGCGCGGCTGGATAACTCCAGGAAGTTTTGACATCAAAGAGAAGATAGGCAAAAATGTCAGAAGCGTGGAAAGAGACACTATTTTGTTCATCTCTTACCTCAGGAGACGAGGATGATTGAATCTCCCTTAATTGTTTCCCATGTCCTGTCCTTTGATGATGACTCAAGATGATGGTTTAAATCCATGGTTCCTGCATTTGAAACACAGAAATAAAAGCAAAATCTCAGGGCCTCATTACAGACAATTGACTCAGAATCTCTCTGGATAGGGCTTGAGTATTTGTATTTTTTAAAAGCTCCCTGGGTGACCCGATGCATTCTGGAAGTGAAGAACCACTAGTTTAAATGAAGCAAGTTGCCTTGAAATAAACATTTGTTTGCTGTATCCATGGTCCTCAGTGGGAACAGTGCCAAGAGGAATTGGGATGAACGGCGGTAGCTGCCCTGCAGTTAACAGCTGTTGCTTCTCTTCTTCCCAAAAGTCACAGCACTTTAGAACTTGCTGCTCATGGACTGTAATTGTTTACATAAAACCTTACCTTTACACCCCCTTTATTTTCTTCCAGGGTGTGATTAGTGTGTATTTATCAGTATATCTCGTTGCCAGAGAGCATTAGTGAATAGAAGTGTCCAGGTCACAGCTGCAGGCAACTAAGCTGGCCTAAAAAGGGAGCTTTGTACACTCCCATTCATTTTTCCATTCCTCCTAGTTATCTTGTGATTGGTCCTCAAATGCATGTGAGAGTCCGCTCCCAGTTCAGGCCCATCCAATGAATGTGAACCTCACCACTCTGGATGGTGGTTTTTAAAACAGAAAATCACACCGGACAAGGTGGCTCATGCCTGTAATCCTAGCACTTTGGGAGGCCAAGGCAGGTGGATCACCTGAGGTCAGGAGTTCAAGACCAGCCTGGGCAACATGGTGACACCCTGTCTCTACTAAAAATACAAAAATTAGCCAGGCATGGTAGTATGTGCCTGTAATCCCAGCTACTCAGGAGGCTGAGGCAGGAGAATCGCTTGAACTTGGGAGGTGGAGGTTGCGGTGAGCTGGAGATCGAACCATTGCACTCCAGCCTGGGCAACAAGAGTGAAACTCCGTCTTAAAAAAAAAAAAAAAAATTAGCTGGGCGTGGTGGCTCATGCCTGTAATTCCAGCTACTCGGGAGGCTGAGGCAGGAGAATCATTTGAACCCAGGAGATGGAGGTTGCAGTAATCTCAGCACTTCAGGAGGCTGAGGTGGGTGGATCACCTGAGGTCAGGAGTTCAAGACCAGCCTGGCCAGCATGGTGAAACCCCATCTCTACTAAAAGTACAAAAATTAGGCTGGCCAGGCTCGGTGGCTCACGCCTGTAATCCCAGCACTTTGGGAGGCCGAGGCAGGCGGATCACGAGGTCAGGAGATCGAGACCATCTGGCGAACACGGTGAAACCCTGTCACTACTAAAAATACAAAAAAAATTAGCCGGGCGTGGTGGCGGGCACCTGTAGTCCCAGCTTCTAGGGAGGCTGAAGCAGGAGAATGGCGTGAACCTGGGAGGCGGCGGAGCTTGCAGTGAGCGGAGATCGCACCACTGCACTCTAGCCTGGGCAACAGAGCGAGACTCCGTCTCAAAAAAAAAAAAAAAAGACCCAGAGTTCATTACATCCAGGCATCTGTTGAACTGATGATTTTCAACTTCAACTGCCAGCTACAGGTGAATAGATACTTAGAAAGGCAGTTCTTCCCCTTTCCTCCCTTTATGAGGTCCATAACTTAACTAATGACAAATATTCCTCATGGATGGAATACTTCACCAGAGTTCAGAGTCTCCTGCCAAAGATGCTGTTCTATCTCCATGCCCACAATGCTGAGCATATCAGGTGCAGCCACAGCAGCAACAACTGGATTCTCAGTCCTCGTAGGAAGCACGTGCCAAAGGGCAGATATGCAACTGGAAATGAACTTGGGTCTACTGGGGCTTTACCTGGGACTTGTTCCAAAGCAGCATCATTAGAAACCACATTCCTCATTGAGAAAAAAGTATTTTGCATTTATTACATTATTATATTGGATTCTAATTGGGGTAGAAGATTCCTCCCCCACAATAACAAAGGTCCCTGGTACACAATACTTAGGAAGCCTGAGACAAAACACACCTAAGAGAAAGATATAGTTTATTCTCCCTCATTTGCATCTATTCTCTTGTAGCTTGGGCAGAGAAGTCTGGCAGGAAGACCAGATTGTTCCCATAACTGAACATACAGAGATTCTGATTTATGTGCACTGACATCCAATTTACCTGGACAATGGGGAAATTCATTATTTTTCCACCTTTATTTCATATTCCTCCAGTAAGGCTATTGATTTTAAGCAAATCAACTAGAGTTCATGAGTTCATACAGTATTTCAGATCCTGCCATACAACCTCAGGCAGCTGTTGGTCTGGGGGAAATTCCTCCAGCTTTTGTCCAGACTCTCCCAACACGGTCTGTTGTTCAGAGGCTGAAGAGCTGCTATTAGCACAGTAATTTTTCCAAATGAACACTGAGCTAAATTATCTCAAATGTATAAAGGAACATCTCTCACTGTGTTATGGAAAATTGCCTCCCAAATTACAAGACTATACAAAGCACATATTAATTCTGGGCCCAAGGACATCCAAATTGCCTTAGATTCTGTGCTGTATTGTGATAACACACTCTTAACAATGTCAGGCTCTGAGGATACTGCAAGGTACACCTTGTTAGGAAAATAAACCAGGGTTTTTCTCCATTAGGATCACCACATGCACACCCAAGCCCAGCTACAGGTATTTTGCTCTGAGATTCAAGCCTTTTGCAGAGGAAATAAATTCCAATTGCACAGACAGGGAATGAATTTGAATTCTAAACTGGGTCAACCGTCCCAAACGGCTTTCTCACTGCTGCCCATGAGTGAGGCAACCTAGGAAGCAGCTGTGGGCAGCCGTAGTGCTCGGAAGAGATTCCTGACAGCCAATGTCTCAGGGAGGAGCTCCTGCTCACGCGTGTTTAATTCCACGACAAGGGGAAATCAGAGGCGACACCAGTTCACAGACTGCCAAATGTCAGTGCTGTGGTCAGTGTGTGGACAAACCCCAGAAACTAGTGCTACCAAAATTGCCCCAAACCAGTCCCCCAGGCACCGAAACAGCTCAAATGTAGTCCACACAAGGTGTTTTCAATAGATATTTTCAAAAACAAGGTTTATTCAGTTTTTCATCTTGTTTTATCTACTCTTGTTTTTCTTTTTTTTTTTCTACTTCTCTGAGGAAATATTACAAAGCAAATCCCAGATATAATGACATTTTATCCCCACATCCCTCAGTATGCATCTAAAATATGGTTTTTTTCCTGTGCAGTCACAATGCCATTACACACCTAACAAATGAATAATAATTCCTTCTATCATCTCAGTTCCAAATCAAGTTTATCTAATTGCATCAAAAATGGTCTTTTCTAGGCCAGCACAGGTGGATCATGCCTGAATCACAACCCTTTGGGAGGCTGAGGCAGGCAGATCACCTGAGGTCAGCAGATCGAGACCAGCCTGGCCAACACGGCAAAAACCCATCTCTACTAAAAATACAAAAATTAGCCAGGCGTGGTAGTGTGCACCTGTAATCCCAGCTACTTGGGAGGCTGAGACAGGAGAATCGCCTGAACCCAGGAGGCAGAGGCTGCAGTAAACCAAGATTGTGCCACTGCATTCCAGCCTGGGTGACAGAGTGAGACTCTGTCTCAAAAATAAATGAATAAATAAATAAATGTAGGAAAATGAGTACCCCTCCTGAAGGCTTGACAAAATGTAAAAGGCTGTGGGGTCTCCCCAGCACGCTACCCCCTTCTTGAAGGTAATGGCACCCCACTTTGCCCTCAGAAGGCAGTAGCCATCCCACCTTTATTCCACGTAGTCCTGGTGGCCTGTCAGCAAAGTCCCCTGCGTTCAGGGTGGGACCCATAGCTCAAGCTTGGCCAGCAGGAATTTGAATCTTGTGAGCACTAAGGACATGCATTGACTGCAGCCTGTGAAGAGGTTGTCCATTGGTTTCTGCTCCCTTGAAACTGCCTGAATTCTCTTCTTCCGAAGACCTGATTTTTTTATTCCGTAAATTGTATCAACTGTGCAACAAATAGTTCTCTCTTTAAGTCAGCCAACCCAATGACTTTCCTGCACAATTTCTCACTATGATTTCCTTCCTGGCTCTATGTTTTTGCAATCTCACTCTGGCCTATGCACTCAATAGACACAGCAGCGTGAACACTCAACAAGAGTGAGCCGGGCACAGTGGTTCACACCTTTAATCCCAGCACTTTGGGAGGCTGAAGCGGGCGGATCACCTGAGGTGAGGAGTTCAAGACCAGCCTGACCAACATGTAGAAACCTAATCTCTACTAAAAATACAAAATTAGCCAGGCATGGTGGTACATGCCTGTAATCCCAGCTACTCGGGAGGCTGAGGCAGGAGAATCACTTGAACCTGGGAGGCGGAGGTTGCAGTGAGCCAAGATTGCGCCATTGCACTCCAGCCTGAGCAACAAGAATGAAACTCCGTCTCAAAAAAAAACAAAAACAAAAACAAAAACAACAACAAGAGTGAACCCTGCCAGGGTGCACCATTCCTAACCTCTGTATTCACAAGCTATAACAGGGCCAGAGCTTTCTCTTTTTTTTTTTTTTTTTTTTTTTGAGAAGGAATCTCGCTCAGGCTGGAGTGCAGTGGCGCAATCTCGGCTCACCTGCGCTCCGCCTCCCGGGTTCACGCCATTCTCCCGCCTCAGCCTCCAGAGTGGCTGGGACTACAGGCGCCCACCATTTTTTTTTTTTTTTTTTTTTGAGAGGGAGTCTCGCTCTGTCCCCCAGGCTGGAGTGCAGTGGCGCAATCTCGGCTCACTGCAAGCTCCGCCTCCCGGGTTCACGCCATTCTCCCGCCTCAGCCTCCAGAGTGGCTGGGACTACAGGCGCCCACCACCACTCCTGGCTAATCTTTTGTATTTTTAGTAGAGACGGGGTTTCACTGTGTTAGCCAGGATGTTCTCGATCTCCTGACCTCGTGATCCGCACGCCTCCGCCTCCCAAAGTGCTGGGATTACAGGCGTGAGCCACTGTGCCCGGCTTTTTTTTTTTTTTTTTTTTTTTTTTTTTTTTTAATGGAGAAGACATCCTGCTTCAGAAGCTTGCAACATTGCTGACACAGTCACAGGCACTTAGCAAGGCTGTTAAATAACTTGATTCATTGAAACGATCTACTCAAGAAGTAGAGTTGGTTCCTCCAGAGCTGAGTGGAAAGAGAACCTCAGGGTGCAAAAGCGCCTCTCTGTTGCTTGGCGCCACGTTGAGATCCAAGGCGTCCTGAGCCAATTCCTGACCTGTCTCCAGCGCTGCCCCCACCAAAAGATTTTAGGATTCAAGTGCTATTTAGCTCTTGTATTGGATGAGTATTTGAGTTTAGAGTATTAAATATTCGTGAAATGAAATGTAAAGGCACAGGCTGGGTGTGGTGGATCAGGCCTGGAATCCCAACACTTCGGGAGGCCACGGGGGACAGATTGCATGAGCTCAGGAGTTCAAGACCAGCCTGGGTAACATGGTGAAACCCTGTCTCTACAAAAAAAATATTTTTAGGCCAGGTGCGGTGGCTCACGGCTGTAATCCCAGCACTTTGGGAGGCTGAGGCGCGCAGATCACTTGAGGTAGGAAGTTCCGAGACCAGCGTGGCCAACATGGCGAAACCCCATCTCTACTAAAAATACAAAATTAGCCAGGCATGG